CATTAATTTGCTCTCTCTCCTTAGCTTACAACATGGCTCCAGGGACTTTCCAGCCCGGGCCGGCAGCAGGGCGCAGGCGCAGCATCCCTGAGGAGCAGCCAGATTTCTGCTGCCCCAAGTGCCAGTACCAGGCCCCGGATATGGACACGCTGCAGATCCATGTGATGGACTGTATCAAGTGATGCCTGGCAGGTGGCGGCACCTGGGCATGGGAGGGAAGGGGCAGAGCCTAGCCTGCTTCCCCCCTCCAGCATGTGCTGCTCTCTAAATGGGGTCATAGCTGCCTTGAGCCAGTGGGAAGGGCCAGTCTATGGGTAGTGGGGGGAAGGGGCAGGCTTTGCACCACTGTCTTTGCCTTACCTAAAACTGAATGTACATGATCTGCTGTAATTCAGAAATTTGCCAGTCTAGAGCCCGACAGCCAAGGGGGGAGGAAGGAGGCAGGTGGGCTGGAACCATTTGTATGGGGCAGAAGGGAGGGACTGTGAAAGCCACTGAACTAAACTTCCACCCATGCAGAGAATGGAAATAACTTCAAACCAAAAGCTCTTTCTCCCAGCACCTATGGGGAGATGATGTGATGGGGAGGTTTCACTGCTCAGCTCCTTTGGAAGCACCTTACTGTTCCTCCTGCAGCACTTGCAGGGTGTGATTGAGCAAACAGACTCCCCTGCTCAGCTTCAGGCTGCCACAGTATCTCTGCTTCCCTTCTGTACTGTGCACAGGTTAGTGAATGTTACTGTCACTGCTGCTCCCAGGCAGACTCCTGCCTTCATGTCAAGCCTATTAATATTAAACCTGTCTCTGGAGGGAGGGATGTTTGTGGCTCATGCCTTGTTTGGCTAGAGCAAGAGAGGCACTAGGCAGCTATGAATCGAAAACCATTTCTCTAGGGCAGGGGTGGGGAACCTTTTTTGGGTCACGGTCTGCTGGCCCACAGAAAAAAGATCAATTGGGGGCTACACACAAATTAGAAGCAAAAAACCAAATTAACTCCCTGCTATGTGTCTCGACTGAGGAGAAAGACACTCCACATTCCCTTTGCACACTAGAGCCTAGGAGTGCCCAGACTTGCAGTGTGGGTTCCAGCTCTGTGATGGGGCCATGATGGCTGGAGCCATCAGCAGCAACTCCCCATTGCTAGGGAGGGAAACCTAGGAGGCTGTGTCTGGGCCTTAAGGTCCCCACCCCTGCTCTAGGATCTGGCCTTTGACAGAATTCCTGTGCTAGTGTCATACTATGGAGAACCCTCCCTGAAAGTACCTGGTGTTTTCTATACTCCAAGCTTGTCACACAGAGCCTGTTTGCCTTCCTCTGCTAGCTGAGAACAGGACTCCCCCCTCACCCTCCCCAACCAGCAGAGCTGTAACAAAAGGCAGGGAGAGAAGGTGCCAAGTGAATTTCACTATTGATTAATCCCCACTGCAGCTGGTTCTCACATTCTAGGAGAGGGTTGTTTTCCCGCTCTGAATTTGTTGACCACCTAGTGGGGTGAACAGCAGGGCCACCAGGCATGGGCTGGGTTGCCCTGCCCCCCCACTGAAGGCGCTTCTGTTGAGGTAGCAGCAGGACTGCCAGCTGTACTGGGGAGTTGCACTTTGTGGCCTTGATTGCTGTTGGGGCCCTTCCTGCACTGCTCTGGTTTAAAATCAGCCTTTGCACACCAACAAGAGGAGGCTGCCCTCAGGGGCCATGGGGAAGCCAGTTGCTCCTAAGGTAACAAGACAACGAGCTGAGTTGTGACTAGTCTGAGAGGGGCAAGGGCAGGCTGCCTTCAGTCATTGCATGGGTAGGGGAAAGAGGAGAGAAGAGCAGATGGAGCCAGGGGGAGGAACTGGCTGGAACCTACGGCCAGTGTTCTCTCTCATTGTGTACTGAGGCATAACAAAGCCTGATGGCTAAAATGGCCTGCAGAGCTTTCTTGCGCAAGAGCGTCTACACTGGCACGGATGCTTTTGCGCAAAAGCATCCGTGCCAGTGTAGACGCTCTTGCGCAAGAAAGCTCTGCAGGCCATTTTAGCCATCAGGCTTTGTTATGCCTCATTGTGTACTGAGGCATAACAAAGCCTGATGGCTAAAATGGCCTGCAGAGCTTTCTTGCGCAAGAGCGTCTACACTGGCACGGATGCTTTTGCGCAAAAGCAAATGCCAGTATAGATGCTCTCTTGTGCAAATACTTTTAACGGAAAAACTTTTCCATTAAAAGTATTTGTGCAAAATCACGCCTGTCTAGACGCAGTCCTAGTGTGTCCTCCAGCTCCATGCTGCAGCAGGTAGGCACTCCTGCTCAGGGATGCCAGCAACCCCACAACAGATAGGCCTCAATGCTGGCTTCGTTGGGGCCTTTTACCTCATGTAGCCTGCCCACTGTGCAAAGCAGATGCAGGGCTCTCCTCCCAGCTGTGTGCGAAAGGGGCCTCTCCCCACTGAGCACAGCTACCCCTCTGCAGCAGGAAGTACAAAGAGAAATCACTAGCTGCTGCATTGGCCTGGAAAGGGAATTCTGGTCTCAACACTTCCATAAGCCAGCACTGAGGATAACAATCCTTCAGCAAGACCCTTCCCAAGGCCTGGCAGCAGCAGTGCACCCCTTGCAAGTGGCAGCTGTAGCCAAGGTGTGAGGCATTTACCTCCATCAGCCATGAGAGGAATGAGCTCAAGAGGGCCTTCCAAGGCTGCATGCAAGCACCATTCATCCTGCTGTCGCACCTAGCTGGTCTGACCCAGCTGAAGGCCCCTCTGAGCTAGAGCTGTTACATGGAACTCTGCCAGTCTCCTCTTTGCCTCCCCTCAGCAGCTCCAGGTTCCTGAGGAAAGCTCTTTAAGGCCCAACACTGGCTATTCCTGGTTCCCCATCAATCAGGCACTCAGCACTTACTGTCACTTTCTACCCCTCACCAGGTAGCCACTGTGCTGCTGTTCCCTGACTGCTCCCCCTTGCTGCAGTCCAGTGCATGACTGACAGTGCTCCTGCAGCCCTTGCACATGAGCAAGCCCCTCTACTCCATTTCCATTCTGCAGCCTGCCCTGCTCCAGTGGCAGCAAGCAGGCTGGAAACCATAGGATGAGCAGAGCTCCAGCCTTGAGAGAAAGGAAATCCAGAGCCTGTGTTCAGAGTCAGTATCTAGCGCCAACCCTCCCCCCCCCCCACCATTACCTCAAGTCCTGCAAGGCTCTTGGGCTACAGTGCTGCCCTGTCTCCACACACTCAGTTTGGGCAGGCAAACCCTCCCCTCTCAGCTCTGCCCTGCTTCCTTTTCCACTGAGATATTTGCTCCCTGCTAGAGTCTGGCACTAACTAGCACACATTCCTTTTAATGCTATGATCTGATTTCCTGTGTCCTACTGGGCAGGAGGGTCTGTGCATGTGCCTGAGACTGTCAGCCATTTAAAATGACACTTCATGTACCCTTCCACAGGAGATAGCTTGAAAAAGAGCTTAGGGTACTCCACAGGACAAAGTTCCCAAGTACATTTTCCTGGGTTCAGAAAAGGGGTTTTGCATACCACCCAAGGTCAGGGAATCTGTGACCTTGGGGAGTTTTTAAGCAGAAGCCTATAGAGGCAAGGCATTTTTAAAAGTCCCCCACCTTCTGCGCTCAAAGTGCCAGGGTGGGGAACAGCCTGACAGGAACTGACTGGCCGGGAAAGGCCCCACTCCTTTCCAGAGCAGTGGCTAGAACCCAGGAGTCCTAGCTCTCTGCCCCAGCCGAATTCAGATGCAACCTGGGGTCAGTAGGGGAGAGAATGAAAGAATTGGGGGTCACCAAATGAAATTAATAGGCAGCAGGCTTAAAACAAACAAAAGGAAGTTTTTCTTCGCTCAGTGCACAGACAACCTGTGGAACTCCTTGCCAGGAGATGCAGTGAAGGCTAGATGACTATTAGCCAGGATCGGTAGGAATGGTGTCCCTAGCCTCTGTTTCTCTGGAGGTGGGGATTACATGAGGATTACCTGTTGTGATCCCTCTCTCTGGGGCATCTGGTATTGGCTATGATCGGCAGATGGGATACTGGGCTAGATGGATCTTTGGTCTGATCCAGTATGGCTGTTCTTATGAATTTCTTCTCCACCTTCAGAAACACCAATCTCCGTCAGACACCAGCTGCTACTATCACCTCACTTGAACACACCAGTCAACCATCCCCATCCCCTACAGCCCTCCCTGAAATAGACTACGAGACTACACCCCTACCTCGGCAGAGCTTGATTCCCAGGTTCATTGTTTGGGGGGGAAGGGCTCCTTTTCTCCCCTCCTCCATCTCCGTCCCAAGAATCCATTTGCAAAGTGTGCTGAAAAGGCCAAACCAAGAAGCCACCCCCCAAAATCGCTTGGCAGCTCCAGGCCCACCCCATTTGCTGCACGTTCCCACCTTTGCATGCACATGGCCCTTGGGCACTCTCCCCTGCACTGTCTGGCCAGTGGCTCCAGCTTTCCAAGTGACCCCCATCATTCTGTAAAGCTGCCCTGGCCTCTGCATTTACAGAGGGAGGCAGAGCTGATCAGCAGTGATTCTACATTAACTTCCAGAGCAGTGGCTGACATGCACGCCCCCACCTGCCCTGGTGGGACAGTGCCAGTTCTGGCAGCCCTCTGCACAGGGTGTCCAGGAACCGAGTAGGTGCAGCATGTGCATGCCCCTTCCTTGCGAATTGACCACCACAGACATCTAGAAATTGGCATTTATTGAACAAATCACCAGGAATTTACAACCCAAGAACCAATCCACCTGGCTGAATGAGGCCCTGCCCTCTGGGGGTCCTCAACTCCTCCTAGCCCCATGGGGGGTTTAAGGGGAAGAGCTTCATTGAAGAGAGCAAGGGCACATGCCCAGCCACATGGCTGAACCCAACCTCCCAGTCTTTGTACCAGCTGCTCAGTCTGAACAAAGGCTGGGCAAGCACAAGGGCTCATCACAATATTTCAATAAATAATTCCAGTCAGAAATTACCTGCAGTTGTGAATCACCTGCATTTCTCCCCAAGAACTAACTAACTCGGGTCCCCCCAGGAATCAATTCGCCACCTTTCTCCTTGGATCAGCCTGTGGGGGAGGCAGCGGTGGGACATAGCTCAGGTGCAGTTCAGAAGGGCCTTGCCTCGGCCACCTTGGCCTTGGGAAGGAGAGCTGTCTTAGCTGGTGCTGCTTCCAGCTGGGCAGGAAGATCAACACCAGGCAAGGATGGCACAGCATCCCCATTCCCAAAGCCAAGACACCAGCCAGCTCTGCTGCCCCGTATCTGCGGGCACAGCCTATAGTGTCCAAGGGAAGGAGGCTTTGCCATCTCACGAGGCTGCTTCGGGGCTGGCGCTGGAGTTGTTATCCTGGGGGGAGGCTGTGGCGCCCCGGGGGGTCACTTCAATGATGCGCGGCTTGTCGATGATGCGCGCGGTCTGGTTCCCCTTCTCCACGATGCCGATAATCCAGGCTTGGTGCCCCTCCCCATATTTGGGAGACTTGATTTCTGCACAGAAACGGGCAGCCTGCTCCCGGGGCAGGCAGATTAGCAGCCCCCCTGCAGAAAGGGACAGGGCCACTCAAGGGGAAGGGTATCAATTCACCCCCAAACCCAACTACTACATCAGCAGCAGTTATGGGGGGAGGGCTCCAGTTGGCCCCCTGAGCCCTTCCACCATGGGGCAATCCAAGCAGCCAAGAAAGGGATGGAAGCTGTTCCCCAGCCCACACAGTAAGCTTATGGTGGATGCTGTGCAGCATGCACAGCTACCAGGGTGACAGGCGGGCACTGGCCTCTTTGGCCTGGCAGCCAGTCTGGGTGGGTAGAGTTGATCAATGTTAGAACAAGAGGGTATCAGATTCCGCTCTGCCAGGTTAGCCCCATGCCTCTCTCTCTCTCTCTCTCTCTCCCTCCCTCCCAGGCCCCACCATTCTGGTCACCAGTAGCCCCAGGATCAACGCCACTTGTCTTGTCCCAGCTTCACCAAGACACACTCAGCTTCTGAGCTGCAAACTGTCCCAGCAGCCTTCCCTGCCCAGGCCAGATGATATGAGAGCCATTTCCCTATGCCCCTGGCTCACTGCCTACCTGATGTCTCTGGGGATGTCCCCTGCAGCAGCCCAAAGCGGTTCCCACAAGCCTTGCTGATGGCAGCCATCTTGGCAATGATGGGCAGGTTGTGGATGACAAAAGAGACCTCGCTGCGCTGCTGCTTGGCTAGGTTCTGGGCATGTCCTAGGATGCCGAAGCCTGTGATGTCGGTGGCAGCATGAGCGTTGAAAGTGTGCATCAAGCTGGCAGCTGTGGCAGGGGAGGAAAGGCACTTACAAGCTGACCAGAGGTGCTGCATTGCTAACCCCTGTTCCTCTCAGGCCAGAGTCTGGGAGATAAATGCGGGTAGAGGGGTCCCCCAAGGACTCCCTGCCAAGCACCGACCCCCATATCACGCTGCTTAACTTAACTTCTGAGCTCACAAGCAAGGGAGCTGTGACCACTCCGATTACCAGCTCCAGATAGCGACAGGCCCTGCTGCCACCAGCTCGGCCCAGCTACTGCTAGGTGCTACTCCCACCAGCAAGAGTTGCCATAGCTTCCTGGTAGGCCTGCTCCACCTCCTCTTTGGACACCACCAGCTTAATCTTATTCCACCGCTCAAGCTAGAAGAGAAACGAGTAAGAGTCACCCAGGCCTGCATCCCTGGGGGCTTAATAGCCTCCATCTACCACAGAGGGTCCCCAAGCAAGGTCTGTTGCCTATCTTGTGGATGTTCTACCTGCTGGGTGCTAGGATTGGAGGTGGAGGGCCCTCTCCCATAACAGATCCTCAATCCTGACCCCCTTTGCCTCTCCCTGCTGCAGGGTGCTCAAGCATAATAGGGCAATGACAACAGGCGAATACGTACGTTATCCAACCACTGATGAGCGCTGACAGCCACCTGTGTGCCTAGTGGCTTGGTCAGCACCAGCACGTCTCCAGGAACCGCACTGTCTGGCCTGAAATGGAGACATCTGTCAACTGAGAGAATCACACCTGGCTGTGCCCTACAGCCACCGCTATGTTCTGAGGAGCGTGGCTTTTCCATGCTGATCCAAGAGCTCTCCAGAATCAGAGCCCAGATGAATAACGGATGCTGTCTGTTTTGAAACTGCTTCCCTGCAACACTGCCCACTGATTGCATAGTTTCCCGAAGGCACAGACATCTCTCCAGGAGACTGAACTACAAAGCTTTCGACTCAAGAGACCACAGTGGGAAACAGGGGGGCTGGAACCTGAAAACCCAGACAGCTGCCATGCTTATCCTCATATAAAGCATGGTCTCTCAGGGTCTGGATCCAGGGATTGCATAGTGACTGGCATACAGCCTATACTGGGTCAGACCAAAGGTCAGTCTAGCTCAATGTCCTCCCAACAGTGGCCAGTGCCAGGTGCCCCAGAGGGAGTGAACAGAACAGGGAATCATCAAGTGATCCCTCCCCACTCACCATTCCCAGCTTCTGGCAAACAGAGGCTAGGGACACCATCCCTGCTCATCCTGGCTAATAGCCATTGATGGACCTATCCTCCATGAATTCATCTAACTCTTTATTGAACCTCCTTAAAATCCTGCCCTTCACAGGCAAGGAGTTCCACAGATGGACTGTGCGTTGCATGAAGAAATACTTCCTTTTATTTTAAATCTGCTGCCCATTCATTTCATTTGGTGACCCCTAGTTCTTGTGTTATGGGAACAAGTAGGTAACTTTTCCTTATTCACTTTCTCCACACCAGCCATGATTTTATAGAAATCTATTATGGCCCCCTTTCAGTCTCCTCTTTTCTAAGCAGAAAAGTCTCAGTCTTATTAATCTCTCCTCATATGGCAGCTATTACAAACTCCTAACACTTATTCTGCCCTTCTGAGATGAAGTGACCACATCTGCACACAGCATTAAAGATGTGGGCTGTCTTATTCTCTATCCCCTTCTTAATGATTACTAACATTGTTTGCTTTTTGGACTGCTACTGCACACTGGGTGGATATTTTCAAATATTAGGCTGCCCCTTGCTCAGTAACTTAGGGTCTAGCATCACCGCTCCTCACTTACATGATGAATTCGTTGGGCTGACACACCACTGTAGCAACACCCCCAACAATGATCCAGGGATTCAACACAGTCTGTCCGCCTGTTACTGATGTCCCACCATCCTCTGCGGCGTCCCGGAAGCCTTTGATTATCAGTGGCATGATCTTTTCACGCTCCTGAAGAGGTGAGAACACAGATCAGGAAACAGCCAGCAGGCTGGCTACTAGTAGCTCAGGGCCCAGTACTCTAGGACAGGGTGTGCTTCAGGGAAGCCAGGGCTGTGAGACAACAGCAAAAGAACAGCAGCTGAGGAACAGGGCTTAGGCTCTGGCAACACTTTGGCATTCACAGAAAGCGAATCGATAGGAGGAATGAAATAGAATGCTGCTGTGAAGGGCCCACATGCAACAGGACCTGACTGACAATGCAGATGAGCTCACACCTACAGCCAAAGGTCACAAAGCAGAATTTCATCAGGAAATCAGAAGGACTTGAAAGGCTGGAAAATATGCAAATATGGCAGGGCATTCTCCCAGAGTGAGGCAAGAAGGTAAGGAAGCATTTTCAGAACAAAGTGAGGATAAGCAGTCTTGGCAGAATGGAGCTTATTCTGTTTTCTTGAGAGCACACTGGAACAAACAGTACATGGTGGAGATGCTGATCTAGTTCAGCGTCCTAACAGAATGAAGGCAACCCCTTTGACATCAACCACAGTGCTAACTGGGGCTTGACAAATAGGTCTGGGGCCTGGAGCACCGACCGCTGACACAATGGTCAGAGGAGTTATTTACTTTACTGCACAGTGTAACAAGAGCCTCTCTGCTGAGCTGCACCAAGCAGTGGGAGGATGAGACATGCTGTAATTGCAGGGCAACAAACTCAATGCTTTAACGTCAAGGCCAAAATGCCTTGCTCATTTCCACAACTTGGCAAGTGGCTATAGCCACTGACCACCAGGAAATACAAAGGAACGTGGTACTCCAACACAATTTTACATCTTCTCTCCCTGGAGCTGGCAATAACCACAGGGAACCTGCCACGGTGTGTTTTGTTTCAAATTTGAAT